GGGCCTGGGCGCATGCCCCCGCAGCCGGGTATGCGCGACCTGCAGCGCTCCTGGAGACGGGCAAAGTTTGGCGTCCACGCTTTATTTTTACAGTGCCTTGCTTTTAGTGGGGTGCATCCTACTAATGAGGCAGGACTCAACCTATGCAGAGCTTTGGACATGAGTCTTTTTCTCTCGAGTACCTGGCTCGTTCCTTACCCGTATTTGGGCAGATCTTACAGATAGTAGCCTAGCTTATATGCAGAATCTTGATTCGTTCCCAACTACTTGTATCATTTAAGAAAAAAATCAGTAGAGGATCATTCTGCCTTTATCAGTACCACTTTACTTGCATTTTTTTGCCTAATGAAGTGATTGATTTTGGCATGTACAGTGTTGCCTTCTTACTTTGGAGCTACATGCTGCTCAGTCGCAGTTCAGTGTAGGTCCCATACTGGGGACTCCTCCTAAGACCAGACGCTGGCTCAGGCACTGAGTATCCAAACTGAACAGAGTGTTAAGTGAGCACTCAGTACTGTAGCCAAGATTGCCAAGTTCCCTCACCACACACCTGCACGCTCTGTCCCATTGCATCCTACAGTGATGTGAACTAATGAAGACATTTTTGCTTTCTAGCAGTGAATTGCTCCCAGCACTCCTCACAGACTTCCTGCAGTGTTATCTTGTTTCTGTCATGCAGTGTCTATGATCAGGAAGATTGGATGTTTTTGTAAGAAGTTAGGCTTTTTTACTGTTTGGTTGTTTTTTTTTTAAATTTCAAAAGGAGGTAGCCCCTTACACATCTCAAGCTTTGACCTTAAATTATTCAATAAAGGTAGCAGAAAAACAGTGTTAATGCTTTATATTCTTGTCCTCTAAACATTCTTGTATTCTAACAATCTAATGTACATTTTTATTGACTATCAAATTATTTAAAGGGGTTTTTTATGTAAAAAGACCATAAATACTAAATTAACTGTGTTCACTCACACATTTTTTTAATAGTCGGACACAAAACGAAGGTCATCCAAAATGGTTTGTTCTGGGTGTTGGACAAGTCATAAAAGGGTTAGATATTGCTATGATGAACATGTGTCCTGGAGAGAAACGGAAAGTGACCATTCCTCCGTCATTAGCCTATGGACAGCAAGGATACGGTAAAAGAAGTTTTAATACTAAATTTTGTCTTTCCTCTGTTTTACCATTTCAAACATACAGTATTGTAAATGACTGTGAGAATTTGTGCTCCCATTATTTTTGGTGATGACTGCAGCTGTGCAGCCTAATCCTACTCATTCCAGTTGAAGTTTAAGTAGTACTCATCGTAGACCTACATCCAGGCCTTGCAGTCTGCAGTAGAAATCAGTACATGGCATCTGATGTGTTTTTCCAAGTATTGCTATAATACAAAAAATTGACAGCAAAGGGAGGATCCTCCTGATTCATATCAGCATTTTTGTCTTAATCTATTATAGTCTATTCGTGTTTAGTTTGTATTCTTTGACTCCTGCCTGCTTAGCCTTTTAAAGATATTCTGCGTCTTCTGAGCAAAATGGAATGTAATCCAGTGTGCATGCTACAGAATTAATCTAAGTAGAAATACTGCTTACATCCTGGATAGTTCATGGACAATACACATGACATAATAATTTTAACAGTACAATGCATGAAATTTATTTGCATTTATTATGCTAAGTGTGCAGTCTGCCTTAAACAAGTTCCACTCAGAGTTTTATGCAGAGTTTCAGCGCTCTTTATTGTAGATACTTAAATTAATCTCTGACTTGAGTGTAGTAGTTTCTGCAAAAAGGTAGCTCCTGCTCTATAATAATAACTTGGTAGTTATGCATCAGTTTTATCTTTCATACAGTTCCATTGTAGCCAGTGAACTTTACTAGAATAAATTTTTTCCCTTGACCATAATCTTTAAGTCTCATAACAACAAGGAAAAACATTGGCACAAATAAACTTATCTTCTTTAACTCTAATATTAGTGTTAACTCTTTGTTCTAGGTAGCACTTCAAGAAAGTATTATTCTCCTACAACATACCTGTCCTCTGTGTCAGCGTATTCCCGCATGCTGGGGAAGATGCCTGCCTAATCTTGAATTAGAAAAGATGCATGTGGCTTTCTAAATCTTTACATGTCTTTCTTTTATTGGTATGTATATTTATAAGCTACTGGCACTGAATTCTAGTATTATATCTTTCTTTCATAAGTAGTGTATAAACTATGATTTATATTCAGATATATTCAAAGCTTCTACATTTATAAAGCTTGTAAGATTAAAATCTTTTTAACTCTGAAACCTGTCATTTTTACTATGGATATTTTAAGTGGGTAGTGTGAGTAATAGTTTTGTTTATCTTCTGTTTATAAACAAAGTAGATTATTTAGTTTTCCTTCAGTTTATGAAGGATGGGCAAAAGCTCAAAATTCTGTCAAAATTCTGAGGTTACAATATCATGCTCACTGGCTTTGGCTATGAATAGAAGCAACTTGCATGTTTATATTTCAATTTTACACTGCATGATTTCTTGATGCTTTTTCGGCACTACTTTCAGACCTCATTAGGTCATTACTGTCTCTCTTCAGTTCCCTTTTTTTGCCAGATGTATGATACTTTGACCTGTGTTTATAGGCAGTGGTGGTTTTAGATCAGATATCAGAACATGCTTTGACACAAGAATAATGAAGTCTAACATGTGTGTTTTGTTTTGTTTTGTTTTCTTCAGAGACCAGATAAAATATTCCAGTAGTTCGGGGGTTTTGTTTTGGGCTTTTTGGGTTTTTTTTGTGAATCAGATTATTTGCATTCTATTGCTTCTTTCAAATGAGATGTGTATTTTAAATGCTATTCTATATCAAGTCCTTTAACCATAAGTATGATTCATAGTAAGTTGGTAAAACCTGATATTGCCTGCTTGTTTCTTCAGACAGAAAATAAATACAAGCATTGGTCTATCACGGTAATCCTCTAAATCAGATTGCGGATAGTATGTAAAGACGTATGTCTCAGAATCAGACTCTCAATAAGTCCCGTCGTATGACAGTATGTGAAAGAGTGAGAACTTTGGAAATATTTGGTTTTCATGACACTAACCCTTCTCTTAAGTCTTAAAAGTACCTGAACTGATATGAGCAATATAATTTTGTTTCAGGGAAGTATATTGTTTGCAAACCTCTCTCAAAACCATTTATCTAACACAATCTGATCAATCTTCCTGCCTAGCTGTATATTTAAATTCAGAATTTAATCTGAATTTTAACACAGCCTTTTGTAATTAAAAAATAAGACGCTTTAAGTGTGAATTTGTCATATGTGTGACCATAGTTTCTGATTTCTTAAATGCTTTTTTTTTTTCTTTTATTCATAGCACAGGGCAAGATTCCACCCAATGCAACATTGATCTTTGAGATTGAACTTTATGCAGTAAATAAGGGACCTCGCAGTGTTGAAGCATTCAATCAAATAGACAAGGACAGTGACAAGAAACTCTCTGAACTTGAGGTAATGTTGTAACCAATTTGGAATAAGTAATTATAAAACTAGGTATAGTTGCATCAGTGTTATCTTTACATGACTTGCCTCTGCTGACGTTCATCATGTAAAGCTTCTGTATGCTTACATAAGCTACATCATGCAATGTTGAAATTCACTTTCACTTTTATATACTAGTATGTCTCAGACGTGCTGGGAAACAAACTTGAAGGGTGTCTGCACTGGAGTCACAATAACATATACTCCAAGTGGACTTGAAGACAGCTGCTGTGTACTACTGTAAAAGCCACAATGGTTGGACTTTTTTCTTTTCTTCTAGATAAGCCAATATTTGAAAGAAGAATTTGCAAGAGATGGCAAAAAACGTCATCCCTCAGTCCATGATGAAATCTTAGCTGATATATTTAAGAAGAATGACCATGATGGAGATGGTTTCATATCAGCAAAGGAGTACAATGTCTACCAGCATGATGAACTCTAAGTACTTAAAAAATCTTTGACTGTTTTCTGGACACTGAATTTTAAATAATAATACTTTGTCACAGAATTTTTTTGTATTTTTTTAATAGTGGCATCTCTTTATAGCTCTTCAGGTGACTGTAAAAATGTTACTTTTAACATTCACCTAATAAAATGTGTTGTATATTTCAAAAGATAAATAATATATCATGGTGTTTTCTGATTTTATTGGTGGTTCCTGCGCCATGTCCTAATCTACATTATTGCTCAGTAGTCTTTCTCATTATATAAAATACTGATGAAAATAATTATTACTGATGAAAATAATTATTTCTGTCTCATCAAGCATACAAAAATGGTTCTAGTACCCATTGACAGAGTTAGAACATAACTTCTCAATGCCCTGTAAAAGAAAAAGAAAACAGAATCCCAGGAAGGTAACTCTGCTGAACTTCCACAGACTCCTAGGCTTCTTGAGGAATTGCTGTTTGCAGCAAATTTAACTATAAAGGGCCTTAAAATAAATGAACACTGGCTATGGAATGACAAGATAAAAACAGAGATGATTTTAAAGCAACTTAAAATAACCTCTTTGATTTAATATTAATGTGAATAATTTGGTGTTCATGAAAAAGCATTATTTTAAGTAGATTTTTAAACTTTGACGTTCTGAAATTACTAAGGTAGCCAGTTTATTCAGCAGCACCAAGTTAAAAATCTACACTATCATTATTTACTTGGATGAGGTGGAAGATGATAGGAGATACTCTGTATAGACATATGTAATTATTTGGGCATCATTTTGATTTCTCTCACTGAAAAATGCAAAAAAGTAGCAATAGTTAATAGATAGTAGTTCAGGCTCATTAACTGTTCTGCTTATGCAGATACTATAATACGTGAGTAATACTCTTCCCATGTGAAAAGCAATTGCTGTATTTATTTCAACATGTAGTAACAATATGTACACAGTGAAAGTGGCAACACAAGTAAAAATGTTTCCATATCTGAGTTATCCTCAAAATCCTTTCAAAGTAGAAAAACATATTTGAATTGTTTTCCCAGTTTAAGATAGCGCAGGGAGAGCTTTAACAGTGTACTAGCCAGCAGCGCTCCCAAGCGCAGAATGGGACACGATTCTGTAGTGCCCTCTGGTGTTCGTGTTCTCAGCAACACAGACTTAATTTTCTGTGGTTGAGATCTACTGGGTAAAGACCCTTATCCATGAAGCCTTCTTGGAAGGATGTAGTTCTGCTATTTTTGTAAGCTTCCAGAACATTTTCTGCTAAGCAGTTTTTTCTGAACTCATAAAAGAAAGTCAAAAAACCTAAAATCCAAATGCAGAAGGTAGACTGGTCGGTTGCTTTTAGTAATCGAAACAAAATTGACATGGTAATGGCATCCTAATATGAACCGCCTATCCCTAGTTTTAGTTGTTCCCTTTTGCAAATGAAACATTAGACTGAGCTAAATTTTAGCATGTTTTTTAATCCGATACTTCAGTTAAACATTCAAGAGAACACTAAATAATTAACAAATATTCTCATTTTACTATCATATGCAGGTATAGATACAGGCAATATTTTGGGGGTTAACAAGTTTGTGTAAACAAACTAAGTTCTAGCATATATTTTCACATTATGAAAATTCAGTTTAAAAGTATATTTTTTCATATCAGTAATGGAAAGAGAAGGCTCTAGAAAGAAGAAAAGCAATGCCTGGGAATGGACAAGGGCATTTTCAAGTAAAAGGTCATTGACTGTGAAGAAAATAATTTGAAGACTATAGTGTAATAAAATGTTTTGCACTTTCACTGTTTTGCTTTTCAACAGTTTTAGTCATATTTACTAATTCAGAAAAGTTTGTGGCACAGTTATGTCTATGTCTGTGACAACAGGCACTTACCTAGCTCAGTCACTTTGCTCTCTTATGCCAGAGGTCAAAACAGGGCACAGCATGCAATCGTACATACTTCTGTCCATTAAAAGAGCACTCTAGGCACCCATAGACTGTCTCCCTTTTTGAACTTCCCATTCCACAAAGGACGCAGGGACCTTTAGGGATGTTGTTATTAAGTAAATTAATTCTGATATGAGACCCTTCTCTGAGATAGCTTGTAGAGACATCAGTCATGCTCGCAGCCTTTTCATAATAATCTGTAAAAAGGTCCTCCAAGTAAGCATCAGAGTTAGCAATGGTAGTCACTACTCTTTTATCTGAAAAAGAACACACAAAAAAAGCAGCAATGATTTGTCATTACATTATGAACTGTTTACAAAGCAACCTGGCATTCTAATTGTGGAAATAAAAACTGATTCATGAAACCATTTGAACATGTCATGTTGTAGATTACTCCCCATCAAAAGCTCTGTGTGATGAAAAGTTTTCTTTAATTTCACAAAAGACACTGACAGAAGCCAGATTTTTTTTGTATATGAACTATATATTTACAATATTTTTAGAAATACACCTTGAATATAGACATGAGGCAAGCTTTCGGGAAAAAATGGGTGCTAAATTAAATCACAGCTATGTACATTCCCATTTAGCCATTTTTTGTTTTTGCATTTCTAGTTCTATTAATTTTCTAAGAATTGTAAATTCACTTTTTTTTCCTAGTATTTGAAAAAATCCACCAGTACTTAAAAAGGTTTAGAAAATTTGGAGGACCCCATGTTTACCTCCTAGGAGCATTCTGAGTATCCAAACACCCTAGGAAGAAATCACTTTTGGAACTACCTACCTTTTTCCTCTCTTTTCAGGGACTGATTAGTTTAGATTGGAATACAAACTTCTAGGAAGCAACGGCTACTGAGATGTATCATACCCACTGAAGATTTATTCCCTTAGCGTGGACTGGAGCAGCACAGAAGGCTTGGTCCATAAAAGCCCTTTGATCAAGAACGGGATACAATGGAGCATGGGGACCTACACAGAGCAGCCTTTAGAAGTACGTGTTTACTGCTCAACATTTATCTTCACACTCAGTTTTGCAGATTTCAGAAATACTTAGACCAGGGATCATTAAAAGTGTAGGATCTTGTTCTGAAGAAAATATAGCTACATACTCAGTTTTGTTGAATGTTGTGTTCATATCAGAATGAGAAAAGAGAACTATTGTCGTATCATGCCCATGTCCCTGCCATGTGGACAAATAGCCTAAAGAGTACATTCAAATACTTAAATACTAAATATTTGTATATTATAACTTGTATTGCAAAACACTAGCTGTAAATGGCAAGCATATGAAATAGGCTTAATGTTAACTGAAGTTTATTGTATTATTGTATAATTACTCTATACCAGTTTATTATCAGCTATAAATTTTTATTTTAAGATCTTTAGAGTTATAATGAACAACATTTCCATAAATTTGTTATTTGTGTAAAAGTTAGGTTCTAAAATACAAATTTTAGTAACTTTAAAATAATTTCAGTTCACAAGAAGCTAAAAGAGGTACATTTTTTCCACCAAAATTTTCTTCTTTAAACATTCATCTTGCACAGAAGTTAAAGAAACAAACACTCTTCATGCATTAACTAAGATATTTGAAAATAAATATCAAAAGTCATACTTCGATGAAACAGATTACTTTTTAACATCCTTAATTTGGTCAGTGAAGATGATCCTGATTTCTCTTTTTCAAATCCTCCTTTTGAAATTGGAGTCACACAGAGTTCTAGAAATTAAAAGTAAGTTTTTAGAAGAACAAAATATAAAAGCGATAATTGCATATAATATATTTTCTAATCTATAAAGCCAACAGTGATTAAATTCAGCTTTGCTACTGTTTTTTAATGTCTAGTATCGCTTTTTAATACAAGTCTGCACATATAATAGTCTGTGGAATCAAGTGACACAGATTCAATAGGAATTTATAAATGTTGGTGGCTTTCAACATACATGGTCAGAGTTTGTTTTGGTTTTTACACAATTTATGGCCATGTTAAGGGACTAAAACAGTCAACATCATAAATGGAAGTCCCACTTCTGAAGGAGAAACATTTCTATGATCTCATTTGAAACTAAAACTGAGAAATAATAAGCAAGGATGTGAGTTCTGTAGTCATCTCTTCCAGTCTCAAATCAACTACAAAACCTTTTTTTTTTAATAAAAATAAATATCACCTAGTTTCTATCCATAACTCAAAAGAAAACTTTAAAGTGAAATACAAGGATAATCAATTACAAGGAACTGAAAAAGCATGTTTTAAACTTTCTCAATTGAGTATTCTCTTTAATTATGCAAATACAAGTATCAGCTCCATTGATTATTTCTCTGATAATAACTTTAGCAAAAAACATTGTGCACGTACCTACCATTGCATAAACATAAAATAGAATTAAAACACTTCCAAAATTGAAATTCATGTTGAACATTATGGAAGTGAATATAAAAAACTACCATACTGTATTATCTCTTTTAATTCATTAATTATGCTTCATTTGGACTGTATTTAAAGTTTTTGCAGAAAGGTAAAAGTATCTCACAGTTCAGTAAAAAGGTGCTTTGCAATGCAGAGTTCCTGTCATGGAAGGTTTATTCTGTATATACCAAAGGATACAGAGCTATTCGCAATTTCTAAAGCATAGTGCTGTAAAAATCTGCCATGATCAGCTCTTTCATTTTATTATTTACAGAAAGCCACTATGTTACAGAGAGGCAGGCAATTCCTCAAGCAGTTGAGTGACTCTCAGAGATTCCTGTATTTTACATGTGAATCTGGTGGTTAGATCTTTAACGTTACTTTAGTCATTGGGGAGTTTGTATCTGATATTATCAAGTACTAGATCAAATCCTAAAATTGTCTTTCTGGTTTATTACAAACTATATTGATAACACTGATAATGTAATAGGCTACACTTTAATGAGTGCAAATAATGTAAATACATAAGCACTATCCTTCCCCCAAAAGTACAAAACACTTTCAGATGCTATGCAATTCATTTTATTAGTTTTCAGTAACTGTGATTATTTCTTCCTAAATCTCTTCAGATGATGTGTCAGACTGAAATTAAAGCCCCAACAGAAAAAAGGATAGCTAAGTTTAGAAGTTCTGCACAATTTCTTCTTTAGCTGGGTCTTATTAGTTGCCTATTTCATGCAAAACTGATCAGATAATCCAATAAGCCTGTTCCATACAGGCTAGAAAGATAAGGAAGGGATTTTTTTTTATTCCATGAAACTGTGGGATTTATAAAA